TAATAATACGTGTCGTAATACGTATCTAAGTATGCTTTACATATCTCCAAAGTTCCAGAATTTGTTGTATTTCCGGGTTGGAGCTTATTCTTTGTCAGATGATCTACCCCAGCTGTCCTAGTAGCTACCGTCTGGTCAAAAATACTCCAGCCTCTTGAGCGTTCGAGGAGCCAACAGCTGTGCGTCGTTCTAGAAGGACCGTACCCTAGCCACCTAGACCGTGTCCTGGCAGTTTGGAACGCACCTCTTTCCAGTAGACAGACTACACAAGGTGTAGAGTCACAAGGTTGCAGGTGCAACGACCGGGGATGCACCGGGCGCACAGGATCGTGCGTACGAATTGCATCTCGACGAGAGCGTGTCCGCCGCAGCAGCTGATCGATAACACGAATTTCGTCCTCCCGGGCAGAGAAGGTCCGGGTCTCTCTCTCTCTCTCTTTCTCAGTCTCTCTCTCCCTCTCTCTTTCTTTGGCGTGCTAGCGAGAGAAACGACGCGACACCACGCACACCCTGGACCCGCGTTTTCTCGGTTACTGATCGAGTGCCTCGGACTCTGCTCGGAGGAAAGAGATCGGGTCTCCTCCGACTCTTCGAGGGGTGTTTTTCGTCCGCGCGGAAGAAACGCAAGAATTGCGCGGGCGCGCGCGATGTTATCGACCACTTTCGCGTATTCCATCGCGCCCGCACACGTTCCGCTCTTCCTTGTTCATCGAAAGTGTCGTCGTCGCCGTTCTCTCGGTTCCACGCGAACAATGCTCGCTCCTTCCCTCTTTCTCTCTTTCCCTCTCCGCGACACGGCCTCTGCCTCCGCGAGAGCAGGCAGGCCTACCGCCCCTAAGGTCAAGGTTGTCCTCGAAATCCTCTTGCCCACCGCGGCCGCCCCCGCGTTTTCACCTCGACGGTTATACGATCGTGACACGCGAAAGCGAAACGAGGACCGGCCCGATGGCGATCGAACACAGGTGTGTGTGTTCGTCGGATGGTTCACGATGATACTCACGGAGCGCTCCTGGGGCAAATCCCGGGGACACAGCGAAACCGACCCCGAGAATCCCGGAATTTCCGAGAGATAGCCGCCGAGATATGCTTTTCACCGAAGTAGCGACTGCACTGGCGTAGTACGGCCTCGGGACTGTAGACGGCACTGCTCCAGCTCGCTCTATATAGCTACCGCACAGATAAAACGGGAGGATCTGGCCAGGACTGTACCATCCAGCATCCGGGATCCGCGATTTTTACGGGACCACGGGAAACATTCGTTTCCTCGCGAATAATCCCCCCCAACGATTATTTATTTGTTTGTTTATTTGTTCGCGTTCCCGTCCACGGACCATCGATCACTCCGGCTCGAGGAGATTCGAGTCCCAGAAGACATTTCTTCCGATCCATTTGATCGTTCGGAAAGCGACTTCGTTCTTCTAACATTATGTTCTGTGCAAATAAGAAACGGGACCTGTACGAGAATGGAATTTCGCTGATAGCGGTTTTAATAGGTTTTAATAGGTAGGGTTGAATTAGTATTTAAGGGCTGAAAAGCGTCTTTCAATTTTCCTTGAGAAAACGAAATTACTTTTCGAACGATCTAATATATTTACTTTATACATTAATTTTACATTTATCGAACAAGATATATTCAATGTTTTTAGCCTTTTATTTTGTTTATTTCTGAATAGAAAAATTTTAGCGTGTCCCATTCGATGAATTATGCCCGGATACGAACCAAAGGCGGAGCAATTTCAAGTTTAAAGCCACAGTCAACGTTATCCTAAACGTGAAACAATTCAGGATCTATGCCAGTTTCGAATTCTACGATCGTTAACGACTTCGTAGCAACTGAAGGAATCTCCGAAGCTGCTTCTTTCCCGCAGGGGTCTTTAAACGCCCCATTCTCGTCCTTCCTTGACTCTGTCCCATTTTCGGCGAAGATGCCGCGTTACCCCACTTCTCTGACCGCGTTACCCAGAAATTCGACCGAATTATCAAATCGCTATAGAATCCCCCGTTTCGGAATTAGCGGGGGCCAATGAAAGATGGAATGATGGATCGCGCGGCGAGGTTCATTTATTTATGTACAGATCCCCGAAGATGGACGGCTCGTTCGAATATTTATGGATCGCCTTCTCCGCTGCTGGATCGCATCAACGTTACAACGTCCCGAGCTTCCGTGCTATCGATAATTAATAGGCTCGAACCTCGGTATCGCGAAACGTTTAACGTGAAACCGACCGAACCGCGAATGTAATTAACGTGTGTTATCATTGTCATCTTTATTATTTATTCGCGGGCCGCTACAGTCTCGTAAATCATACAGATGAAACACAAAATCCGGGACAAAATGAACGTTACAGAGAACAAGATTTTAGGGTAGATACATTGGAGGATTAAGTTTTTCAAGCGTTCAATCATTCTCTGGGAAATGGTATTTATAATCACAACAATTTCAACCCTTAAGTATTACACCTATTAGAACTTTTACGTAATCACTATTAGCGGTCACACGGATCGCTAAGGTTTATTGCGTTATTATTGATGTAAAAGTGGTAAATGAACAGTCGAAGTCAATTTCTTACTTTGCACATCGATGATGAAGGGTTCCAAGATCGATTTAATAGAAGCAAGCGTGTTAGAAATGTTTCTCTTTCGACACACAATTTTTCTTATAATTATATTATCACCACAGATGAATAAGTAATTAGGAGCAGTCTCACAGGTCGGCTGTAGTAGTTAAACGTTAAAATTGCAAAATTTGAAACTAGTCACTTTTACCGGCTCGGTAAGTTTAGTGTTAAGTGAAGTGTAAATAAGATTCTGGACATGACTTATAGATGTTGCTGTCGTCTTTTAAATCGAAATTAAATTAACCCCGCTATTGTGTTAGTATTTCAACATTAACACTTGAACGACCGAGCCTTAAACACGACTAATCTGCATGGTTTTATAATAAATAATATATTATATATATAATATTATATATAATTATAATAATATATATATATATATATATTATAATATAATATATTATGTATTATATATATGTAATTATAAATAATGAATAATAATATTGGAATTATATAAACTTCGTACGATTCCTATTATAATATATGCTTCGATAAAGAAATATATCTAAAAATTGCTCATAGAAACATTTTAATAACATCATGAATTGTAAAAGAAAAAAACAAAAACCATCATTTTGACTGGTTTGTTAATTCTAATATTAAATTTGAGATTGACATTCTATCAATATAAATTATTTAAGTACGCCAAACTTAGAGGTGCTTGTTAGTTACATTTTGCAAACATATTATCGACAAACAAGGACAAAATTAACGAAGCTGTGAAAGAAATCGAAGCAAGGGGTTAAATAAGGTTTTGTTCTGCATCTTCGTAGAAACATAGGCGTATCAAAGGAATGCAGAGAGAGAGAGAGAGAGAGAGAGAGAGAGAGAGAGACGAAGAGAGACGAAGAGAGATAGAGACAGTTACGTACGATGCATCCGATATTTTTTCACCGAGAATAGGGAGGACGTCGTACGTGTTGCTTCGCAGATTTTCGAGACTCGATACCGTGGGAGATGGTTTCCGGGACGCGATAAGTCGACTGATCAGACTATCCGTTCAGTATACACCCTCGTTGGATGCGGGGGATATTGAAAATCCAGTCTGTGCATGTGACGCGTTCCCACCGCGAGACCCGTCTATTTGAATAGGATCGGAATCTTTCATATTGGATCCGAATCCAAGAATCTTAACTCTACTCCCGTTCGCAATCGCGTTCGCGGTCTCGCGTCGTTCCGCGCGTTCGTTTACTGTGAAAGGAACACGTCCGCAGCCTCAGACACACTCATCGCCGCTGCTGATAACGCACGCTCGTAGAAACACATCGTCGCACAGAATTCAGGATATCAGTCAGCTTGGCATCGCGAGAAACGTCTACGTTATTTCTACGTTTCCGTATCGTTTATTTTACTTGATTTTATGGCACCGTTCTCGGCGATCTACAGCTTACAAATTTGAATCTATCGTCGTTCTTTTCGTATCCACGCGTTCTTTGTTTACTCGTTATTACCTCTGAGCAGAACCAAATAGAATTATTGATCCCTTAAGCGTTGACTAAAATATTATTTTTATCTATTTTTTATCTATTATATTCATCTATTATTTTTACGGCTTTATATCCTAGTTGCAATATATGAAATCTGTTCAGATTATATTACTTGCAAACAGCGTATCTCGATCATGGTAGATCAAATCCTTCGTAAATACCACAAATTGGAGAATACGAGTATTTATGCATAGTTATTGTATTACGTAAACATATTATGCTGTTGCATACTTCGGTTTCACTCCTCGTCGCTCGACGTTTATTTAAAATACACGCACCATTCACTTGCAATAATACGCAAAAGCGTTCAGTATTATCGATCAGTATATCACCGCCGGTGATGGACACTTTTTAAGAGTCAACCCCAATTTTATCGACAAACCCAAGTTTTACCAATAACCCCTTAGAAATGGGGTTCGACTCTTTTGTATTCTTAAGAATCTCAGTACGATGCACTTTGTTCACTATAGCAAAATAAAAATGAATTCCGAAGCCAAGTCAAAAATTAGCGTCACCCGTAAATAAACGGTAATTTACCGCAGGTAAAAGAACTTACTTCAGGGTCAAAATGGCTTCGAGGACAAAGCGTTAATTGAGGACAGTTTTGCATTGCGGCGAAGGTGACGGCTCGCAGATTCAATGGCGAACAGGTATTAGAATGGCAAGGGAAGGGAAATCTGGTCGCAATGGCACCTGCAAAATACCCCGGTGATCGAGTAAACAAACAATAAACGAGGGGCGTGTGAGACCGCTGAGCGGTCAAATCGGCCTCACTATCACCGCGGTCCTCAAAGCAAACGCCGTGAAATGTTCTACTTTTCGCTGCTCTTTCGGTGCACGCGTTCGTCCGTGTGTCGCCGAACTGGAGCATTTTTTTCTTTCTGTTTTTAGTGCGGCGTGTGTGCGCGGGTGGTGCGCGCCCGGACCGTTCGAAAGTCGATAACCGCGAGATCTCCGACACGAGAGAGGGAATAATTAAACCGGTCGAGTACCGATCAAGCAAGCGAGTTTTGCGACGAGGCTCTCGTGTGCACACGCGAACAAGTGTCTGGCCTGTGCTCCGCGAACCGAACTTCCTGGACGAAATTTCAACCGATTAGATTTCACCGCCGCTTCGCCCGTCCTGTCCGCGGCGTGGCCATGTTGTGTCCCCTACACCCGCAGAAATGGTTCATTAACCTTGTAACAGAGCAAATCCAGACGGACCGTTCGGATGTTCAGGCGAACGTGACCGTTCTCGTATGCGAACGACAAAAGGACTGCAGAGGGACGACTTCGCCTCTGCATTTCGTTTCACGGCCCATGGATCGCCGACTGGCTCCGGTTAACAGTATCTGCCCTGGTAAGTCAACTTCATAACCGTTCTCTCTTTTGTCTCAACGCGTCTAACTGTACACGAGATGAACTTCTTAAGTGGAATCTTCTATTATCATTGTTACTAATACTAGGTTTTTATCTGGTTTCCAAATTATTCAATTTATTTCGATAAACAGTGCTCGAAATAATTCGTTCATTAGTTCATTCAAATAGTTTTATAGTATAGTTTCATTTTATTTTAATATAATAGCGTGTCTTTCTCCTTTTTTTGTTAGTAGTAGGAGATTCGTTACAGTGGATTTAGTGAAACACAATTATTTAAATAATATAATTCGCAAGAATTTGGAAATTTTGTGAATATATTTTGTAAATATAAGTTATTTCGGTTTTAATATTTTTCTATTTGTATTTAAATAATTATCACACGTGAAATTGCAAATTAATTAATTACGAGGAAAGCTTAATATTTTTTTGGTAATTATCCGGTGATAAATCCGTGTGGTAGATGGATGTATTTACGATAAAAATCGCTAAAAATCTAGATAAGTACGCTTGTTACTACAAATACGCTTGTTATTTTTAAATCGAATTTAATCCTTCAAATCGAACGAAACATCTGCGTTTTTGTTATCGATATTCAAGCGTCGACGTTTTAGCTATACATTAAATGCAAATTTCCGCTTCATCCTAGAGACTTATTAATAGACCGCGAATCCTTATGAAAATTCCCATTTTCGTACGTAATTTTACAAAAATTGGAGTTAAAGAAAAGTGTCCTTCGTGAACTGAAAATACTGAAAAAAAATCAAATAAAAATGCTAGTAGACCTTGTCAATTTACACGCATCTTTGCATTCTAAATATTTACGCTATTGTGCAAATATTTTATTATTATAAGATCCGCAGTCTAATCACTGCAGAGCAGCGCACGATTGTTACGCGAACCCTCCGTCCTCGCAAAAATGATTTTGGGATAAGCGAAGATTCCAGTTAGCGATTAAGTGACACGGAGATAGAATTAGATCGTCAAAATGTTCAGCGAACAAAGAAGCGAGAACTGAAGTCGATAAAAATGACAGGTTAATTCGTCGCGCTCGGCGAGCGGGTCGACACCCGACGTGATTGCTGAATTAACGCCTGCACGAAAGAATTGGAACGTCATACGTCGGATTTCGCTGGTTTTTAAGCGTGTTCTCGTTGCAGCAGGCGTGTGCCGAGTTCTACAATGATCGTCGGGGCCGTTTTTGGATTCGGTTTGCCGGGATCGCGAGCTCGGTTTCCGCTCGCATAAAACGGGGCGCATAGATAATCGTTCGAGCAAGGTGTCAAATGCACAACGACGCGTAGGGCACCGTTGTACCGCCGTGTGTTCCCATTGGCTGTAACCCCGGATAAAGACGCCATCATCTCCATTCTGTGGAATTAGTCTGTTCAGCGTGAAATACAATTTCGCGTCGGTTAATTTCGCGCCGCTTTGTACCAAAGCCGCAGCATTTAACAGCGACAGAGGAAGAGAGAGGGAAGAGCAAGAGAGGGAGAGAGGAAGCGAGATAAAGAAAGAGAGAATGAGAGAGAGAGAGAGAGAGAGAGAGAGAGAGAGAGACGAGCGAACGAGGCGAGCCGCAGCTCGCAACTTGGTAAAATGACTTTCGCCTGTACAAATACGTTCTGCTAATAACGGATTTATTATAATGGCGACAACGTACCCGGCAGGTGAGCGCGTTAACAACCACAATGGCCGTTGACGACATTAAATGAAACACATTTGACGGTCGATATGCAGAATTGTTCCTAATTATCGAATATCACGATTGTGACACCCTCTTCTCTGCATCGACAACAGCGAAGGGAAATCATGTTTCAAATGTTTTCGTCGCTACTGCGATGTTCTGCTCGCAAGTTTTATCAACAATGTAAATGAATTATGCACTATCAACCGTGAGTCTCAGTATTAGTATTAATAGCGTGTTAACGCTGTTACATTCTTTTTGAAATCAAACTAATACTAGGTGAATGGCTTACGTTGCTCCGTTCGAATTGGATTGTCTCCACAACTGTTTCCTATTTTTCAATTTATCTAAATTTTTTTAATTTTATCTTTTAACCCCTTGCCATACTTTAACGAGTCTAACACGCGATGGAGATTTCTAGCAATAATCTGCTAAGTACGAATGCTATTTTGATCTTTTTAGACTGAATAAAATTCTGATTTCTCGTCATCGATATTTAAACATTTCAGTAAATGCAGACACACAATAAATATAAATTGTGTTTTTCCTTCTTAGGTATTATTACAATCAAAAAACTTCTAATTATTGAAACTATGAAGAAAATGGTACGGCAAGGGGTTAATTTTACCGTTACACGTCAAAATTTTATACAATTTTCAAGTAAACTTCAAGAGGAACGTAATTAATCTACCGAAATATATATTATTGTCACATTTCTGTGATGCAAAGTGTTTTAACTTATAATTATCTTCCGTTTATTTCTACATTATATTTTCTTGTATATTACAAGTTTTAATATTTATTTAACATTTTTATCTAACCTTCTTTAATTTCTACTAATTTCTGTTGGCGGCCTCGAGACCTAAAATCCAGTATTTCGAAGACACAGTTCGTCACCGCTTTTCTCGATTTTTCGAAATCCTATGGCTTCGCTTCTTGCCCCGGGTATCCCACCCCTCTGTTCACCGGTTTTTCCGTTGCAGCCCGGGAGTATTCGGTGTTCCCTCGGGTTACCTGCGCGGTTTGCTTTCACGGGTGTCTCTCAGCGCCTTCCTTTTTCTTTTCTTTCTCGTCGTCACGTTACTTTTCGCAGTCCCGCGACGTCTTTTCCGGTTCTTCTTTCTCGCACCCCCCCTTCCTCGGGAATTTTGATCTACCTTGATATCCGACTCCACCGCCCTCCCGCCGATTTCTCTCGTTTCGCAGCACCGCCGTGGTTTCTGTGTCAGCTTCGGCCGCCATTTTCGATCCCCAGGGTCTCTCAACGTCGAAGAATCTCGAAAGAAATTTTCGAACGCAGAAACGCTGCCAAGTTATTTATTTAACCCCGGGACGGGCGCGTCATTTAAAGTTAAATAAAGCGACGCGAGGGGTGCGCGGCACCCCAAGAGACCTGTACAAATAATACCGAGAACAAAATCACGCTGTCGTCGTTCTTAATTAGGCGCTAATGCAGCTATTGACAGCTGGGTGATACCACTTAACATATCGCTAAACAATAGAGAAACGTCGGTCATTAAACAAATGGCCGGGGTGTCTCGAACCTTCGAAAAATCGATCTCTTCATTTTCTGAAAGTATGCATGTATGTGCTTTCGAAAATATTTTTACCGAAGCATACTGCTGGACACCACATCGATGTTGACTATTTCTCGCTGTAATAAATCGTAAATATCGTTGATAGAGCAACAATATATATGAAAAACCCCGATGTACGATGTTGCATGGGTTTTTTTTTATAAAAAAATACCAACAAAAAACGCGTTCTAGACTAGAATAGTCCCTGAATGAAAAATGTTCGGCAAAAAGTAAAAATATATGTATTTCCAGCGATTTTCGACGCAGCGACGAACGACGCGTACGGTTTTTTTCGGTGATCGAGAAGGGCCGCTGCAATTATTGCGAGCAATTCAATTGGACGCAGAGGGCTCTACGAACGTTTCGAATTCATGAAGTTTTTGTTGAACACCAAATCGGACGTAACACGCGATATTTAGCTTTCGCGTGCCGCCGATTTGAAAACATGCTGCCCTTTGAGAGGAGAGCCGCGCTCGTTCAACCAACAAATTCAACGCTTTGCATGTTACTCGATCTTTGAAAAACCAGCTGAAGCGAGCGATTTTAATAATCGTGCGGCAGGGCGCAATTACGGGGAATATTTTCGTGATTTAGACACACAGAGCTTTGAGCGGAGTTCGACATTACCCGAATTATTTTAGATAAATACTCATTCGAATATGATCGGTCTGTCCAAAAGTAACAAACTTTCCGATGCAGCTGTTCAAAAAATTAGTCGACTGCAGGAATTAACATGAAAGAAATTAATCAATTATGGAAAAACACCATAATTCTAAAATTCATATTCAAATCGATTATTTTCCGAATTATTCGAACGAATTTTCATTCGATTGGATATTTGTTCGATAAGACACTCGTTCAATAATGTCGAATAAAATTGTATCCGTTAATCCTTACCCGTCGTCCGAAGAAAGTTTCACCCAACTCTGAGCATTAAGCAACGCGTATGAAAAATTGCAGCTTCAGAAATTCATGCCGCACCGTATGCGATACAGTTCGTTAAAGATAAATTTATCGACGTACTCGAGTTTCGTATTACCGATTTAGCGCGGCGTCAAGTATAGAAGGTTGAAACAATACTACAAAAATAGTCCATTGCTGGACTCCGTCGAAGGCCGAACATTAACACAGTCCAATGAATGATTCATTGCTCGGAAATTCCTAAAATCGTCGACTGAATTAGTTTTGCAAAAATGTTGCGTAAAGATCTGCAATCGATTGATCATTCATATTGTGAATATCATGCTCGCTTCGTTAATTTTAAGTATTCAGACGTACGGTTTTGTGGGCGTATTTTGGAGCCTGTATTCACCGAGAAAAAGTAAAAACAAAAGGAAATCGTTTTTTTTTTTCGAAGGTTCACACCGGAATACCGTATTAATAAGTCGGGCACGAAAGAGTTAGCCGATCTCTAAGTTAGCGGTCTAAGTTACCCGATTCTTGCAACGATACCAAGGATCCGTACTTGTGCGAAGTTAGGTTGCCAACTGCGAGCAAGAACAAGAGCGTTGGCGGGAGTACAATCGACGAAGAGGGCCGAGTTGCCGGAAGGCGGACTCGTTGTTTCCGTGAAAGAGAAACCCGAGAAACCAAAAGGGACAAGACTCGAGCAGGAGAGAGAGAGAGAGAGAGAGAGAGAGAGAGAGAGAGAGAGAGAGAGAGAGAGAGAGAGTGGGAGAGTGAGACAGAGAGA